AACCTGCTCTTTCTCCAGCCCTGATTGCAAGAACAAATGGCCCAGGCAGAGATCAGACAGTAAATGAAGTCAGTGAACGACTTTGGGGTAAATACAAAGATTAGAACAAAAATGAGACTACTCAGACCAGCCCTTTGCACTGAAGTGGTGAAGTGGGCTGTGATTAAAAGAAATAAGTAATTATCCTAATTATAGAAGAAATGATACAGAATTAACCACTGTAAAAGCACCTCCTGTGCTCTAGAGTTGTTCTGTTATTTACGAAGTTCATAATTATGCAGCATAAGCAAGAGGGCACTCTGTCAGTGTAGCGCAGCAGCTCTCTCTCCCCGAGGTGGAGGGTGGTACCATGCCGGAGAGCGCTTCGTCCCCCAAGCAGAGCTCCAAAGTTCAAGTCTTGCTCCAGTGAGCAGGATGGTGCTATGCCAGGAGAAATTGTGGGAACCTTTCTATCTCAAGCTGAGTGCAGGGCACACTAGAGTTCACAGAGCTCTCCCTGCTTAGCCATGACTGCTGCTGGTAATGGCTTTTATGATCACCAGGTTTTAAATAATAAATAGAACAAAGAAGCAAACTCTGAAGCACTGGAGAACAGCCCTGGGTGGTGACATCCTGTCACAATTGAAGCATGGCAGTTCTGCCGGCTGGTAACTTATTACAAAACGTTTTTTTAACAGCCTCTTCCTACTCTGGGACAAAGTGCCTGGATGCCTGTGGGACTGAAAAGTTCAGGACTCGCTGGGTCATGGGTGCTGGCGGGTCCTCTGTGTCCCCAGTGCAGTGCTGGGAGCTGTGTTACGCTCTTGCTCTCCCTACCGCATCCGTTATTGTGGATAGGAATTTCATTTCCAGTGCTGTCGGTCAATTGAGTGCCGCTCATAACCCCTAAATGCCCCACAGGCTGTTTGTCAGAATGTTCCTATTAACAACTCAGTGAAAATAAAGGGGAAGGGGAAGGGAAGGTGGAGAAATAAATCTTATTTTAAATCTTTTGAGCTGGTTTTATTTCAAATGGAAACTTGCATGCGGACCACCCCATGCTATTGTGCTGCTATAGTGGACTGCGTCAGCTGCTTGACTGTGCAAGGAAGATTTGGACAGAGGTTAGGAGCATCACACAGGGGAAGGGTGCACTGGGGTGCTTTTCTGCTGTGTCCAGGAAGTTTCTAACACAGTATGGAGTTGAAATACATTGATGCATGTGGTAATCATTGTAAGAAGAGGAAGGAACACTGAAATATGACAATTTCCTGCTCCTGTTCTGGGGATTATGTTGGTTTCTGTCTGTCTTGTAGAGGTAGTGATATGTTGTAGGGGCGTATAGGGAAATGAAGGTCAGATGCTATCTTGGAGTGCTCTGGGAGCTCCTTGCTGAGCTTCGCACAGTACCTGTTGTCCAGATACCTTTTATCTGCCTACCTAGTGTGTGGCTTCAGAAGGGAAGGCAGCTCTGAAACAGAGCAGTAGTGTTGTACTTGGTTTAAAAGACCTCATCAAAGAGCTGCAGAATCATGTACCAGGCAGTGATACAGGCAGGAGGAAAAGGGAAATGCTGCCATGACTTTTGCCGTGGTCACACCACAGATGGAGGGGGGTAACCGCCTCCTGGACCAGCTTTTGTTTAACTAGCACAGGCATCACAAGCAGAGGAAGTTTGTCAGCAGTACTTGAATGTAGACAGCACATGTCCATGGAGCCTCTTTCTTCCTAGTTTAAGGTCCTGCTGCTCTGTCTTCACTGCTTTCTATTCCAATATATTCAAGTACCAGCCAGTTCATGCAGAACTACAAGAGCTGTAAATGTATTCCCAGTTTGAGCGGAGCAATAGCAGATAAGGGAAGGATAAGGGAAAGATTGCAATGGGGTAGTAACATAGAAAATGGAGGATGCAAATGGAAAAACCCTGTGTCAAGAAGATCTGAGGCAGAACATTGATGTCACAGCAACTTTGTGGCTCCTGTGTGACTTTATTTTTAGAGCATTGCCAGCAAGCTGGCCTGTCTCCTAGGGCAGTGCCAGTCTCCATCTCGGGGCTGTCTCAGTCTTGCTACTGTCCAGCCCCACAGACCCCTACCAGTCCATAGTTACCAAAGAATAACAGGGAAAATGATATGGGCAATGTGTTAGAGAAGGAAAGAGTCTTGAGGAGTTGAGTAATGCACATTTTTTCCATCCAGCGTAACTGTTAATGGTAACCTTTTATTATTGAAGTGGTTGAAGTGACTAGAATCTGGTTTGTTTATTGGGAGTACATGCATGGCTGTATAGCCTAATGTGTTCGGAAAAGGAACCTGATAATAAGGGAAAAATGCACCTATAGAAGCAAGTCAGGTGATATCTCTGTGTAATTGTAATTCCAAATAGCACTGCAGAGATTAACAGCCTGGGAACCTTTTCATCTTAAACTTTATTTTTATAGGGGTTTATAACTTGGCACTAAAGTCAAGAGTGGGTGGAAACTTGGCGAATGTGGTTCAGCCCAGAAAGTGAATGTTATTTATATTTATTTCTCACCAAGTTTTCAAAAACACTTTGTTACTGTTTTTGTGTTCTAACAAGTAGTAATTTGTTGGTTTCAGTGACTTATTCTCTGCATATGTCTTAAACTACAAAATAGCTCAGAACTTATTTCAGTTCTTCTAAAACTCTTGGTGGAAGTACTCTACATTTCCAGGAGTGTAAATGAAGACCAAAAGTAGTTCTTAGTGTAATTTCTTTTAGAAGGATGCTCCAAATATTTCAGGTACATAGGGAAACATCTTTATGGTATTTACATCAGATTAATTCCTACTGCTACTGCATTCTTGGAATAATAACATTCGGTTTTGCTGGCAACTGTGTGTATTTAATGGCATTACTCAGGTGCAGGCTTACCAGAGAGGCTGAGGAGGCCATAGTTAGCATGGGTTGTCCACGGCACAGAACATGGTCTGAGGCTGTGATAAAGTAGACCCTCTTCCCCTCTCCCCTGTCCACACATGACATCTCTATTGATGCCAGGTTCATCCCTGGTATTAACACAGCTGGTATTTAATACTTCACACTGATTTCATGACTGTTTCTAAAATGGTATAGAGCCTCCTGTACCTAATTTTTGGGGAGACCTACTGACATCATGAGAAGCAGCATTTGAATAGGGGTTTTTGGTATTTTCAGTAAGCTGAAATAGTGTGCTATATATCTCTGGCAGGCTGTGAGTAACACAGCAGAATGGTCAATTGCTGACAACTGTGCATGTGTATTGTATATATAACATTGCATTTCACAGTTGAATTATATTGCACAAATAAGCACTTATTTAGAAAACCAGTTGGGTTGAAAAGTTGACTTTTGTGGAAACAATTAATTTTCTTAGAAATGCCTAATTTTTGTTTTAAAGGGTTTTTTAAAAGCAATTATTTTATTGAAAGTTAAGGATTTTTTTGCATTTTTTCTTTAAAAGAATGGGAAGAGTGAGTTAAAATTTCTTACAAGAAAATCCTGCGTACTAATTCACCTAGTTGTAAAATTCAGTACTTGTGATGTTCCAGAATGACAGCTCTAAAGATAGAAACTCTGTGTGTTTGTGTGTGTTCAGGGCATGACTCCCTCCGTCGTGAGAATTCAGCCCTCTCCATCTGAGATTAACTCTGGAAAGTGAAAAGAGCTGTCTTTCTATTTAGAGGGAAACAGAGAAAGTCATCAGTAAACTGTCATCCTGAGTATTAACTGTGTAAAGCTTCAAAGCTTTATATAGATTAAGTTTTTTAAAAGAGTTCAAAGCCTTGTACAGTTGTTAATCATTACACAAGTTATAATAGTATTATGGCATTTATGAAATAAATCCTATCTTGTAACTTGCTGAGACCAATGCAAGAATGAGGTAGTAGTTTTCTAGTTGTATGATATGTATCCCTGCACACTTATATCAGAGCAATATATAAATGCTTTATCCAATTGCATATAGTGAGGGACATGGAATCTGCATTACTTCTTAAAATTATTACTTAAAGTTATCTAAGTAATTAAGTAATAGTTATATGCTTTTAAAACTTTTTTTCCCATTTCAAATACTACTTTTAGAGTAAATTTAGTTTTGTATTATGTGCATTTAGTTTTACAATTACATGAAAAGATACTGCAATACTGCTGACAAGATATTTAAAAGGGACAATATGTATTGGTATATAAATTACAGTATATGCCTTTCGTGTGTAGTGTGTCAGTTTTTGTAGTGTGGTGTCACTTCTGGTCTCTGTTGTGCTAAACAAAGCTTTTTTTTTAAGACAGTGAAGTCACTTTCTTTTAAAAGAGCATTCATGCAGAGATGTTTTAAGGTTTCTGGACAGCCTCCTAGCACTGAGGCTTTGTATATAGGAACCGTTGCTTTAAAGTTTTCTCATGTGTGAATTGCATGGTTTTGTAGCGTGCTTTCCCACAAGCAGGATGATTCTGCTGTAATGCACCTGGGTGAATTGACGCTACCAAAGAACTTTATCCACAAATGATGCAAGGTAGAGTTTATATTAGAAAAGATAATAGTAGCTGATTTGTAATGAGGAGCTGTTCCATGAGTTGCATTGCAAATGGTCTGGTTTCCATTGAGTTTGTGTGAGTGGATGCTAATTTGGGTTTCTTTCCTTCACCTAGACACCAGTGATTCTGAGACATTGACTCCTTTTGAAACTTACTCAATTTGCTGTGACAGATTCAAAAGTTAGTGACAGTGTGAGTGGAAATGTCCAAGATAGTTTCTTTAGGAAATGAGGCAGCAGAGGACACCTGCTACCAATTTGATAAGGAGGCTTCCTGAGCAGTCCAAAAGAATGTTAATTACTGTTACTGCTTTTACTTTGTGCTGCTTTTGCTTACGTGCTTTCTGTGAAGCTTTTATGCAAGTGTGGATTTGCAGACTAAAGCAGATGCTGTTGTGTACAGTCACCTGCAGTAACCCTTACCCTAACAGTCCTCTTGTAAGTGCAAACTGAAATGACAGCAAATTAATTTTTCTCTTTTGACAGTGGAAAGAGGGGAAAGAGAAAACCTTTCAGACTATTGCGTTCTTGGTCAACGTCCCATGCATTTACCAAATATCAACCAGCTGGCAACCTTGGGAAAAACTAACGAACAGTCTCCTCATGGCCAAATTCACCACAGTACTCCGATCCGAAACCAAGTGCCAACGATGCAGACAATGATAAACCCTGGGCTCCTGTCTCCTCAGCTCAGTCCACAACTGGTGAGGCAGCAGATAGCAATGGCCCATCTGATAAACCAACAGATTGCCGTCAGCCGGCTATTGGCTCACCAGCACCCACAGGCTATCAACCAGCAATTTTTGAATCATCCGCCCATCCCTAGAGCTGTCAAACCAGAGCCATCAAATTCATCAGTGGAAGTCTCTCCAGATATTTACCAGCAAGTCAGAGATGAGCTGAAGAGAGCCAGTGTTTCTCAAGCTGTCTTTGCAAGAGTAGCATTCAACCGCACACAGGTATCAATTTCTATTCTGTAACCAAGAAGTGCTGATGGGGAGAAGTTGTAACTCTTGTGGGGCTGTATGGTTGCTGCCGATCAAGGCAGGAGGTGTGCCATAGAAAGAGGTCAAACCCCTCTCTGTTTTTCCCCCAGTCTCCTTGTTGTGATTGAACAAGACTGTTTCTTCCTGGAACAGCTGTTTGGTCACCCCTGAATTGGTTTGGTCTTCCCTGAGTTCCTATCTGCGGTTATAAACTTCCACATCTACTCCTGCTTGATGGCCAGGAAGAAGTAACAGGGACTCTGAGAATCAGAGGTGTCTTGGGGCTTCTGTTGCTTCCTCAGTTCCTTTCTGTGATATAGCTGATACCACAACTAGTGCCAGAGGCTTGTGCCACAAGAAATGTGTAAGACAAGTGTGCGTAGGCCTAAGGATTGACTGCTGGAAAAGATGTCTGGATTTGCAGCAGATTGCATTTGCCTTCATACATCTGACACAGGTTTTGTCACTTGTGTAGTGAAATGCAGATGTTGAAATGATCCCGTAACAGTGTTAGCTTAAGCCTAGCACCTGGAGTACCCAGGGTCAGTGCATGTTCAGAAAGACAGGCCATTTACATTTATCCTGCTGCCAGATACCATTCGAGGCATTTAAGGTATGATCTCTCAGTTGTGATACTTTGTAACAAGGCTAAAGAAATGGAAAGTGGCTTAATATTTAATATTGGTACAAATTTCTTTTGTGCAATCAGAGTTAGTCTTTGAGGTAAGCTTTACCAGCAAGAGAAGACAAGGGCCATGTGTGTGCGTCTCCTGGAGGTCTGTCCCTTGCCCCATACAGCGCCTTTGTCTGTTCTCCTGGATTAATGATTTTCTTTGGCACTGTCATTTTGGAAATGCCATGTTATGAGGGAACTAATTAAAGTATGGAGCACTTTTTTATTACTTCCCTTCTTCCATTAAATTCATAAGATGGCTGCAGTCAGAAAAAAACATTCACTTCCAATCAGCGTGACTTTGAGTTCTGAGGTTAGCCTTGAGGATATCAAATGAAAACTACATAGGAATGTATGAGTATTTCCTCTTTAAAATGCTGCTTTTAATTTGGAAAAGCTTTTTATCCCTCTGGGATCATAACCCGTTGTATATAAAGCCTGGTATAATCAAGGTAGATGGTATTGACAGAATGACATATTCTGAACTTGAGCGAGAGGTCAACAGTAACGTTGCTTGTGAGGGTTTTGCCACTGTCACTGAATGTGAAGCTCTGCTTTAGGCAGACCGGGAGAGCTGGGTTGGTAATGCCCAAGTCTGATGTTACACCAAAAGCTCATCCCCCAGTGAGAAAACTGTCATGCGACTTGTGTGTTAAATTGACAGTTCTGCTATAGTATTTAAAAGGAGTCAAGGTTTTCATTCTGTGTGTCTAGAAAGCACCAAGCCTTGCTTATCAGTGACCAGACATTGCAGATTGACTTTCTGGGACAGCAGGGAAAAGGCAAGCATGTGAGAGAGACTCTGCTGGCCTTTTTCCGAGCAGTGGCACAGCATTGCACTTGCCTGTGGTGTTTATCAGCAGCCACAGTAGAGACTGCACCACACTCTTGACAGGTAATCTGAATTCTGGACTAAATCAGCTGCAGTAGGATTTGGGGATTTGGGGTGAGGGTGTGTTTTTTTGTTTGCTTGGGTTTTTTTTCTTTCTTTTTACACCTCTTGCAGTGTTATGCCATAGCTCTAGTGGGTTTAGGACACTAAACAGGTCTTTGAGTGAAATGTGGTTTCTCCCCAAGTTCAGTGGCTCCTCGAAGTGTGACTGTGGGCCAGTCACACCTGACAGCATTTTCAAATGCCCTGTATGACTTAGGACACCAGGTGTGTCACCATTCAGACTGGGTTCACTCATCAGGAGCACAGACCTGAGCAGCACTGACTGGACATGCCAAGGTAATGTCATTTGAGAAGGTGCCAAGCAGGCAGAGCTGTACCTGAGAATGGGATGGGATATGATGCTCTGGCCTCTGACCAGTTTACATTTGAGTTCAGTACATAAAACAGGGTCAGTAATTCAGGGCACTAATATCACTGGCTTTGTCAGTCCTCCTGCTGACAGATATCTTGGGATGCCCTAACTTCTCTAGCTTTTCTTTAAAAAAATAAATCTTCCCGCTTTTCATCACTTCATTACAAGATATCAGACATGTAATTTTATATAAAAGGAAGGAAATTACCTACTCCTTAGCCCTCCATCATAAGTAATATGATGTACTGTACAATCCATGACACTGATTCTAGAACCGGCAAGTCTTAGCCATCCATAAAAGGTCTGTGCGTCTCACAGCTGTGTTTCATTAGTCTGCAGGGCCTTAATACTGAAGACCAGTGGATCTTGCATATAGTGCATCATGTCCCTAGGAGCCATCACTGTTGCAAAAGATTGTAGGTACATACTTATGCTTCCCTGTCCTCAGCTTTTAATTCCAACTAAAATCAATCTCCCCTCACATCAGAGACTGTTTGAGGTATTAAGAAGGCAGTCGGCCTTGCTCTGCAAAGTGGAAGATGTGGATGTTCCCACATACCCATGGTGGAGAAGCAAACTCTGTAAAAGTCACTTGAAGTGGAAGTTCAGGTCTGCTCTCACCCTTTTGCATTCCCCCTGCAGCCTCTGAGGATCCTCTCCTTGGGAGGTGCAGAGGCATGTGTTTCTCTCTGGAAATGTTTGGGTTTGTTGCATTTCATAGGCAGTGCCAACCTTAGAAACTGGAGGTCTGTTGTTTCTCATGATGGTACCAAATAATAGATGCTGTGTGCCAGCCAGCTAATAATTGTATTAATCACTGCATTATGGGCTACTGCTTAATCTTTCTTTGTGGTAGCTTTGTGGTGTGCATTAGCCTATAATTAAGTATAGCTTCATGAAATATGTACTGTGATGCTTATTTAATAGATAAACTATTCTCTTAATTTATTTTAAAGTCCAATGACCTACATACTCAATGCTGAAAAACCCCCTCTTACTAACGTTATTTCTCCCCTGAGACCTTCCATCTGAGCAAATCTGTTAAATGAAGTAGAGGAAGCTTTGATCCAAACTAGGCTAAATCCATTGGAACAAGTGGCTGACACGTGTATTTATGCATGTGTCTGTGGGAAGGGGAATGTGAGGAGGGTCAGAAGAAGGACACATGCCATTGTATGGTTTGTGAAACATCCAAATCTTCCTCTTAAAGTTGAAATATATAGCTTAAGACAACAATATTTGCCTATACCTGTGACCATGTAGTCTGCACACATGAAAACAAAGTACTTCAGGCTGTGTGACACGTCCTGTGCATTTCCTGGGGCACAGGGCTCCCACTGAGGTCCCACTCTAAGAAGAAACCCAACACCAGGCAACTTCATACCTGCTATGTGCGTGAGAGAGCTGCACGGGGTGTTTGGCCAGGAGCTGGCCCAGGTTATGTTAGCCATGAAGAGGGTTTCTTTCAAACAGAAAATTCCAAAGTAAACATTTTAAGATTTCTTTGAAGCTGGGTATGAAAAACCCTCAAAGAGTGTACGGCTGACTTTTAGGAAATGCCTTGGTCTAACATCTGTGCCTTCTTTTTATTTTATCTTTAGAGAGTTAGTGTCACAATTTAATTCACCTTGCTCTGGAATCTAAATGCTTATTTATTCAGTAAACAGGACAGAGAGAGTTCTTAGACCCACAGAGACAATACACTTACTGAAGGTGGTTTTAGTGACACTGCTTCCAGTAAGTAGGAGATTCCTACACAACACTTAAATTAATTGTGCATGGTACCATGTTTATGTAAGCCGGTGTTGCCTGCAACCTGCTTAGCAGTTTTAAGAATGGTGTATGTTGGAAAGACAACCTCTTAGGCTTTATGTAGCCTTTGTTTCTCATGTGGATGCCAGCAGCACTACAGTTTTTAGCTCCAGTTATGGTCGTCTCATGGACTGCACTGAGTTGCTTTTCAAACTTCTCCAGAAGGTTGTGCAGCCCAAGGAGTGGAGCTGAGGCTGTTCCGCCCCATTCCAGAAGCCCTTTTGAGATGGGTACAATGCATGCAAAGAGGACAACACACAAGGGGTGTTTATATTCCTGGGCCTATGCGTAGCTGGCCACCATTTCGCTCCCTCCAAGGCAACCAGGGAGCCCACTGGTGCGTACAGGGAGGAGTGGTTCAAAGGAGTGGAGAAAGCTTGCTGTGACTAAGGCAGTTAGCGGTGTTACCAGGGCAGGAGATTCAGTTCCTTGCTCGTGTAATTGCATAGTTTGTGCCCAAGTTCTTCATGGCCAAGATCCTTGGCCTTGGCTCCTTTTTGCAGCTCTGCTGGCATGTGACCCATAAGTTGGAAATGTGCAGGCTCCTTGATTTGAATGTGTTGTTTACGGAAATTGTTCCTTTTGTTCAGGCTGTTGCTATGATCTAACTGCTCGCTAATGGAAAGCTAGGCATCCTTGTCTGGGTCTTAAAAACTGCGTGCAAGATTGTGAGTGTGTTTGAGTGGAAGGCAGAGAGCTGTATGAGGCCCATCAAACACTTGAGCATTACATGATCATACTTGATATCTTTATTTTAGAATGGAGGGCATCTTCATGAAACATGTTTACATGCAGCCAAGCTATAAGCTGAAGTTGCTATTGAAACAGTCATTAGTGGAAGCTTTGCTTTCTCTAATACTTTGGGACTTCTTGATAATAGAAAAACACTCAACCTTTTAAAAAAAAAAACACAAGAAAAAGTGATTAATACCACAAATCCACAGGACGAACGAAAACCATCAGAGGCAGAGCAGAAGCACCTTGCACTTGGAATTGCTTTGTGTGGATTTTTGAAAGCAGTCAAAGCTTTGAAAAGGCCCAAGTGAAGGAAGTGTCTGAAAGATGCAGAGGATGAGAAGGGTTTAATGTGTAGGGGGAGAAGCTGTCCCTTGTTGATATCAAACAGTACAGTGAAATGAAAGGGGCTGTCAGGGCAAGCTGGAGTTCTCCCAGAATGCCTG